TGTATCAGTTGGAGTGGTTGAGGACGGTTGCCTCTTTTGAGGCTCCGTCCTCCAAGTAGTTTTTCGCCATACCTGCAGTTGTTTTCCGTGCGGTGGATACCAGGGAACGACTGCTTTGGCCTCTGCTAATGGTCTTGCAAGCCGTTGCAGTGTATTGTTGACTGACGCTTGCACAAGAGGACGTCTGCTGGCTCGTTTGAAATTTTTTGAAATTTGTTTGAAATGGTGCGGGCGCGTGTGGACTCGGGTCGACGGAGAGGAGAAGCGAAGGCCAGGAAGTTGAATATCGCGACATGGAATGTCAGGACGCTTGTTGAGGACGGCGGCGACCCTAAGGTTTCAAGGGCCCGTCCATCGACAGCGCAGGCGGATACGGTAGTGGACCGAAAATTTGAATTTTTGGTAGCGGAGCTGAAGCGCTTCGAAATAGCAATAGCTGGCGTACAGCAGACGAAATGGTTCGGGGCGGACGTCTGGTCGTCGTCTGGCTTCACTATGTTACATTCGGGCCGTCAGCTGCCTCCTGCTGGTACTCCAGCGTTCCGCAACGAGGGCGTTGGCATCGTCCTCAACCCAGAGATGACTGACGCGTGGCAACGTGGTGGCAAGTCCTGGACGGCAGTAGGCTCAAGAATAGTGGTGGCGCGACTCAAACTGGCGGACGCGGGTGATTGGGTGCCCTCGCAGCGGCGGAGGAGACGGTCGGACTTGTTCCTGTCTGTCATCAATTGTTACGCTCCCACTAGTAAGGCCAGTTTGCCAACGAAAAATAAATTTTACGCGGACATGCAGACTACACTGGACGGAGTATCACGTGATGACATTCAATTTAATTGTTCTGGGGGATTTCAACGCGCGTGTGGGTGTTCAGCCTGCTTCTGGTGATATGTGGTCTGATGTTCGTGGCAGGTATGGCCTTGGACAGTGTAATGCAGCAGGAGAACAGCTGCTGATGTGGTGTGCTACAAACCAGCTGTCCATTATGAACACGTGGTATCGAAAGCCTCACCATCGGCGTGGTACATGGACTCACCCCGCCACCAGGCTCCCACATCTTATCGACATGGTGCTCATGCGGCAGTCTCAGCATTGGCATTGTCAGGATGTTTCCGTTATGCGCTGTGCCAATTGTTTCACCGATCATTTCATGGTTCGCATCAAGCTTCGTATCAGTGCTGCTCAGCCGCGCCGAGCTCGCCCGCCTACATCTGGAAGACTAAAAGCCGTGGCTGCTGTGGAGGTGTTGACAAGGGATGCTATTCGTGAGAAGTTTCGAGATAGTATGTCCACCGGCCTACAGTAACGGCCCCGGCAGTCAGGCGCCAATGAGGAGTGGTCGACGTTGCGGGATTGTGTGTGTGAGGTTTCTGAGCAAGTCCTTGGGGAAAGGAAGAGGATCCAGCCGGACTGGTTCCTAAAGAATATTGATGTACTGCAGCCATTGATCGATGCCAAGAACCAAGCCAACAACGAGATGCTGCAGAAGGGCACGCGATCAGCGATGAGGAGCTTCCGCCAGAAGCAGCGAGCTGTGGCGCGGGCTGTTCGGGAGACCAAGGAAAAGTGGATTGAGTCTGTATCGCAGGAGGCGGAGAGGTCTGAGATTGGCGGTGGATCTCAGTGGCGTTGCATCCGGAAGTTGCAGACCCTCCACGTAGGTCGACAGCCCAAGCGTGAAACATCAGTGCTGCATGAGGATGGTGTACTCCTGACGGACTCAGATGGTATCCGGGATCGGTTCAGGCACTTTGGCGGCGTCTTGAATGTCGAGAGCCAGTACGATCCAGCTGTCTTGACAGCTATCCCGGATGAGCCACTGCAGACCGAGCTGGATGATCCCCCGACGAAGGCAGAGATGCTTGCGGCGATGCGCTCCATGAAAGTTGGAAAGTCCGGTGGGGAATCAGGTATCCTTCCCGAAATGATTATCTCGGGTGGTGAGGAGCTCCATGATCGTTTGGTTCGGCTCATGCATTTGGTGTGGGATGAGGCATCGGTTGTCGCTGAGTGGCGGATGCCATCGTTGTTCAAATACCTAAGAAAGGCAACTTGAAAGTTTGTGATAACTGGAGGGGTATCAGCCTTTTGGATGTTGTTGGGAAGTTGTACGCACACTTACACACACACACACACACACACACACACACAAATAGGCAGCGGGACTACCAGCTAGATTGACGTGACCTTGCGGACAAAGTTACGGAGGTAGAACTTGTTTTCATGACGACACTTGGACACAAGTATTTCTGTATTATCATTTTATCTCTTTTCAACCAATCCAAGAAGAGATGCGTAGACGGGTTAACCGTACTCTTGGTGGCTTGCAAAGCAGAAACAAATCAAATTCACACTTAGGCTGTTAGGTAGGTCGTCAAAACCTCGTTAGTTACATGTATGTCCAGTGGTTGTCTCTTGTTGTCGCACTACATGTCGCGCTTATTGAGTTTTCTCGCATTTGCACCTTTGTGTCATTATTGCAATTTTCGCTGTTTAAATTAGTAATTAGAAGGAAAATACGTAATGGACAAATATTAAATTAAGGTGTGGAGAATCGCTCAAAAACACTGACAAGGAGACAGTAAACGGTACACAGTACTCGTGTGCATGTACGTATAATACACGTCATAGCAGCACAACGAGAATGACCATGTACCATAATGTTACATCAATACATTTTACAGAGTTATTTTGGGAGTAGGAATGAAGATGTGTTCGAAGCAATAAACTGCGTAAGCGTTACGTTATTCCACAATATTGAAATACAGTTTCCTGCAATCAAAACAAGACACTCACACTTCTCTGGTCTAGGTCGCCATTCTTATCGCTAACATGACTTGATTTAATTTCTTACGATGGTTCTTGAGAAAGGATCAATGATGTCTTGAATAGACGTCTTCCCTGAACGACTTCAACTGAGAGGCAGTTTCAGTTTCAACGAGCTGGATATTGTTTTCTGTGTAGTCTTCCACAAGAAAGACAGAGCTACACACACGAAGGTGCTTGATGTACTCAGTACCTTCTTGGAGATGAACATATTTTCATTTCCATCTTCATTATTTCGTCTCTGCATCGTCGACGATGTCCACTTCTGACTCCGTAGTCTTGTCACCCATCCTCTCCAAAAACACAAAGCGAGTGCTGCTTGTATGCTGGATCAGTTGAAATCAGTCTCCGTTCTAGCAAGATCGGCATGCAAAAAATCACTTGACTGAAAATACTCCGAAAATAGCTTTTCTGAACGACGAAGTTTGTTCTTCAAATATGATGAATAGCACAATCTACTAGCCAGAACGTCCCCTCAAAAGAGATTCTATCTGAAGCCTGCAAGATTTTCGACCACCCTTCGTTTTGGAGAGGAGCCCACACACACCAGACTCGGTCATCGAGACGTGACTGCTCACTGAGTCCTACATATAGTATCCAGTTACAGTGATGGAGAATTACTCTTAACTCGTATCCATATGTCCTTTTCCTTTCTAAAAAAACACTGGTTGGCCTTTTTAGGTATACATACTCGCCGTTATGGTGCCTCATTAATTAGAAATCAAAGGTATATGGCAGACGAAACAAGAAGCAAAACTAGGAATAGTCACCAGAAGTAGTATGGACAGGGGGGGGGGGGGGGGGGTCTAGACCAAAGTTGAACCCGGAAGTGACCTTCAACCCGGATGTGACCTTTCAAGTGGTTGTGAGGTGGTGATTTAAGCGGTCCTTGATTATGGTAGCAGTGGAATTTTCCACGCCCATCCCCACCCATCCCCGCCTCTCTTAGACTTTTTAAGTGTGATGCTATTCTAAGTCAGTGAGTCATTGACATTGAGGCCGTCATTAGCACTACACAATGTTTCCAAAACGTTGCATGACTAATCGATATACAATGCAAAATGTATAATAATCCACTTTTCCTGTGATGATCCTATCATTTCAATCATGGATATTGACGAGCAGTTTGAGATATTGCGAGATTACATGGCACGTTGTCGTGAATACGATGGTGACGATGCGTGTTCAGCTCCTTCTCCCCCTCTTCCGAATGAAGAAAAGTGCTGGCACAACCATCAAGTGGTACACGAAGGAAGCTATGTGTGTACCACTTGCCGACTGGTGTTGGATCACGTGGTCATACCTGAAGTTAACGTTACAGATCGTTGTGTGCTTCCTCGACTATATGCTGCTCGCGAACGTCTGAATGCTGTTGGCAATCACCCGTTGCATTTCATGGAGAGGCCTGGTGTGCAGGTTCAGTTGCATGGTATTCAGGAACGACTGCAGATCATGAAGAAGGACAGTGGCTACAAAGATCTGAACTATGCCATTGCTCTAACCTGCATCTGTCATGAAGATAGTACAGTCTGTCAGAAATTGCAGAACTATCTGCCGAAGATCAACGTAGCCTGGGCACGCTCCAGCAAGTGTATGAACTGCATGTCTCATCAGTTCGCTCAAGCGTAGATGCTGAACCTCAAGATGGGAACTGAAGCACTGTCAAAATGTCAGAGTGCTAGATTGAGTGCTAATCTTGGCAAGCTCACTCCAGAACAGTTAGACTGGATGCAACTCAGAATCAAGTGCTATGATGGTATAGAATCTAATTAAGATGCCGTACATGATTTAGATTCTGTACCTCAAGAGCTGAAAAGTGCTCTGTGTAGGTATGCAAGAAACCAGACTAAGCACACGGAAAGAATAGACAACCAGACATTGTGTCTCTCAGATTCTTCATCTGTAAAACCAGCTCAACAGCAGCATATGGCGAAGAGCATTACGCTATGCACTGTTACCATGACTGTGCACATCAGTAGTACAGCCGTGATGTACAATGCATGACTACCACATTACCCCCTTCCCTAAGAAAAAAATTGTCTGCAAATGCAAACCTGTTTGAGAAAAAAAGGAAAAAGGGAGAAAATGACAGACAAGAAAAGACCAATAAAATCGCAAAGGAAACGATCAAGAATCAATTCCAAGCAACAAATTCGATACACCCTGACACTGACGGGTCAACTCGCTGAAGACACATCAAACCTGTACCACGATACAAACAAAACAAAACAAACCAAACGAGCAACTAAATCGCAAATTGGCATAGTTGTGCAACATGGTCAGTCAAAATGGGGATGTTACATCAACGCACCAGCAGCTTTCTAAGTGAGCTTGACAGTGCGGCCAGAGCAGGTTACATAGCCCTCGCGAGAGAGCGAGCCAGACTGGGCATCGGGCTGTGGTAGGCGTGATTGACGACGTGATTGGTCACTGGACTCGGGATGAATCTTAGCATCAGCCTCCTAATATCAGATTCCACTCCTGCTTTACACGGAGCAGTAGGCGTAGCAGGTGGCACATGTGAATAAGGTTCCGAGGATTTTACTTCTGACTCTGTGCCTGGCTGCAGATCTGGCGTCGGAACTGGCTGGAGATCCAAAGACCGAGAACAGGTGGCAGTTGATGACGCAGGTGAAGCATGTTCTCGCATATGCTGCCGATTTCGGAGCAGTGTCCGCCTGCCATCAGTGACACCGACTTGTCTGCCATATTGCTCCGTAACACGCCAAGGGGTAATTGGGTCGGAATAGCCATCCTGCAAGACTACCATTGTGCCGGGACGCAGCATAGGCAACTGGCGGACACCACGGCGACTATCATGCGAGACTGCCATGTCAGCTTTGGCGCGAATCTGATGAGACGCGTTCACAATGCGTGAGGTAGAATGGTGAGGTAGACGGGTGCGAACCATGCGACCGAAGAAAGCCTCATTGGGTAACATGCCCAGCATTTGGTGCACTGAGTTGCGAATATCAAAGAGAACTCGTTTCAAACGGCGTTGCAAAGACAGGGACGGTCGTAAGGATTGAATTCTCTCTTTGATGACTCGATCAAGACGTTCCACAATTCCCTTACATCTGGGGTAGCGTGGGTTTGATCGATTGTGCTGGATGCCCAACCGCTGCAGGAACTGGGCCATTTCGGCTGAGGCAAACTGGGGGCCAATGTCGGACACCGACACGCTAGGCAGGCCGAACCTCGTGAACACTTCCATCAGCCGGTCAATGACAGCTGCGGTTGTGGTAGCTGACAAGGGGAGTAGTTCCGGAAAGCGTGAACCGTAGTCAACGATGGATAATACTTGTTGACCCTCGATACACACCAGATCAACCGCCAGTTTCTGCCACACTTCTTCAATTTCTGATGGTACATGTAGCAGCTCCTGTGCTGGGTTTGTATGACGGCGCTAATCCTCCGAACACTGCTCGGCGAACTTGTCGGCATCTTCAGACATGCCGGTCCACTATACTCGTCATCGCAAAGCATCCTTGAATATGTCCCGACCTGGACGACCCTCATGGGCCAACCGCAGTACGGCATGTCGGAGAGCTTCTGGTGTCACACAGCGGTTCACGAATAGCAGGATGCTGTTAATGGTCATCAGCTGATCTCGGATAAGGTAGTATGGCTCTTCAGCTTGTGTGACTTATGACCATGATTGCAGCAAGACGCGCTGCTGTATGCTGAGCAACAGTGGGTCATCACTAGTCGCCTTTGGCGATATCGTCGATATTGACTGGGCACTCTTCCAAGACCAGGCCAATGAACTCAGCCATAGAGCGGGCTTCTTCTGGTGAGGCAGTTGAGTCTTGGACAGGCGCTCTTGACAATATATCTTGACACACCATCTGCTTCCCAGGTGCAAGTGACAAAGAGTACTGGTATGGCATGAGAGAGACCCTCCAGCGCTGCAGCCGTGTTGATACTTCGTCAAACGGCTTCTGGACGATTTAGATCAGGGGCTTGTGGTCGGTCACAACTTGAACAGATCTTCCCAGAACGTACTGTCGGAATCGAGTTAGAGAGAATACTATACCAAGCATCTCACGCTCCAACTGGGAATAGCAGGGTTCAACATCGGACAATGAACGGCTGGCGCAAGTGACAGGTAACCAAGTGCCACTCTTGTCTTGCTGCCACAGAATAGCACCCAGACCAAGTGGAGATGCGTCACATGTTACCTTGGTGGGGACGTCCAAGGATGGTTTACATGTAACCTTGGTTGGGACGTCCAAGGATGGCTTAAAGTACACTAAGCACTCTAGCTACGAAGCCACGGCTGTCTTCGCATCGGTGAATGCGGCTGTCAGCGCATCAGCAACGACGAACGGTTGTCGCTGAGCCAGTTTCCTCAGCGGCTCAGTTGTCTGTGAGAGCTGCGGTATTAATTTACGAATGTACGTCACCATACCAAGGAAGCGACGTACATCTGTTAACGTCTGCGGCAGCTGCAACTGTTGTATTGCCAGTAGCTTGTCTCCGTCAGGACGCACACCATCCTTGCTCAGCCAGTGTCCCAAGTAATTGATTTCTGATTGGCGTACACGACACTTCTCCCATTTTAAAGGGGAACTCAACGAAAAATGAAACTTTCGTAGCCTGTAATGTTTTGGGCGCTGAGTCGAATGGTCTTGGTCCGAAGTCTCTACGACAAAGCGTTCTTGAGATATTTCACATTAAAATTGCAAAATCGGGGGCACGCCGTGACCTCATGCGGCCATTTGGCTATATCATACCGGCATGCCTACGTCATTGTGGCACAGTCGCAATCTCGGAGCACTATTTTAGCATAAATTTCAAGGAAGGATGAGCTATTCCGAACAATTCTTTGTACCCGGCAATGAAGGCAGCGATGCTTAGGTCAGTGAAAACCACCATCAACCCACCGCCGCGTATGGTTGGGGCAGGGAGCCCAGATACTCTGCTGAGGAGCTGCCATCGCGTGTAACAAATGTTGAGGAAGAAGATGCCTCAGCAGCTGCGTCCGACAGAAGACGAATAGCTTGACCACCCGAATCTCGATTCGTTTGCGACTCCGACTGATGCAAGCGTGGACAAAAGTAACGATATAGCCATGCCCAGCTCGCGGTAGGATGCTGCCGTCGCTGTCGAGAAGACGGCCCAAGGCTTCTTGCGTAGCGGACCTCGCAGATTACGAGATCGTAAACTTGCATTAGGCTGTGCCCACCACTTCTCTTCGAGGTTGTCGCGACATGCAAAGCCGCCAATGCCAGTGACAGAAGAGTCTGACATTAACTTAGGTAAGCCTCAATTAGTTTGTCTTGACTTGTCTTGTGAGGACCGCGTATCAGTATGATACGCTTATTTTCTGGGGAAATTTATTGTTGTCAGGCGCACTACAGTAGGCGTCGCACAAGAAAGACATTGTACTGGTAGTTATCACAAGTTTCATGCATGGCACAAACAAATTTCTCTTTGCTCCAAGTATATCTTGACTTGTCTTGTGAGGATCGATGCGCGTAATGTTCTGCGTGTAACATATTGTTGTCAAGCATAGCACGAAAAACGTTGTACTATAGTGCTAGTAGTTATCGCAATTCTATCAACCTCATCCTGACCATTTGGGAACTCCTGCCTTTGAATGAGCGTCGCGAGGCCAGGTAATACGGCCAGAAGCCTCCAACTGCTCCCTCGCCATCTCGACACCAGAAGGCAGGCCAATGCCACCGAGCCGAGCAGGAAGCCGAAGAAGCGAAAACTCAGTGTCCGTAAAGCACGACCGTCCGGTAATGGCACGGAGGAAAGCACCTGCCAAAGCAATATCAAGCTTCTCAAGTGACTCGGGAGCTATCGCAGTGGTGCGAAGTACGTAATTCCAACGACCCCGCAGCCCATGTACTAACGCGGAATACCCAGCATGTGGCTCTACGAAACCACTTAGTTTATCAATTTGACCACACCACTGGGAGACTGCGTGATGCACGAATGTGTTAACAAATTCCTCAGATCCAATAGGACCACCCAGATATTTCACCCCACTAGTGACAATTTGGATACCCGTGTCGATGAACATACGTTCAGCTTCCTGAAGAAACTCAGGTTTCACAAGCAGCTGAGTTTTTTTTCCAATTAACATGATACTCATAAACTTTGCCGCTCTCATCCAGCATTTCCAACCATCTATAACTATGTTGCTAGTACATACACAAATAGGAGATCCCCCAGATAGGCGGTAGCATTTGTGTAATCCTGAAATAAAGATTATGATTATCTACGCAATTCAAGCAGCCTACCAGCACCAGCCTACGAGATCTGTTCATTTTTTTATTCATCTTCATCATCATCATCATCATCATCATCATTGAGAAGCTTTGAATCGTTTTTATCAAAATCTAAATATTTGCCGGGTTGGAAGGTGGGAATCAAAAAAATAAAAAATAAATAAAATATCATCATCATCATCATCATCATCATCATCATCATCATGTGACCAAGCCGCTTTTACGGGCAACAATATTATGAATATAAAACGCAAGGTATTGTAAGAGCAATTTTCTGAAAATAATGTTAAAACACGAAATATAAAAATGCATTATCACACCATAGCCACTTTTATGGGCAAATTCCAATCCAAGGCAATTATAAAACGAGGATGAAGTTAACCTTTTAACCCAAAGAAAAGACAAAAGATGTCAACAATAGAACTACAAATATAAAAAACAAACATCAGGTCATAAAAACTACTTTAAAACATAACCAAATGACAGCAAAGCGTGGAGAATGAGATTGACTTACAAAACAAAAGAAGTCCTACTATGCTTATAAAACAGAATCTACCTACACCGATGATGATGATGATGATCTTCATCATCGCTCAGTGGAGAACGGTTGGCAATTCTGAGGCTCTTGGTTTGCTTGGTTGACTTGGTTGCTGGAGAGGAACTGGGAAGCTTGACTTGGCTGGCGCTGCTGTCTGTTGCTGTTCGGTGGAGTGGTCATCACATTTTATCCTTTGGAGGCACCCAATGGCCACCCAATGGCCAGTGTTAGACCAGTGAGGAGAGGAGTGTGACTGCCTTGCTGCTGGAGGCAGTTTCTGACACGATTGGTGACTCTGGTCGTACAGTCCTGATGCAGTCGTCACCTCAGTCATCCTCACACCTCCTATCCCTGCCAGTTCTGTCGCGATGCCGTGCTGCAACTGCCAGATTGGTCGCAAATGTGTTAGATGCAGATGTGTTCGTGCGAAGAAGCGCTGTGTGGACTGCTACCCTGGTAGAGCTACCCCTAGCCTTTGTCACAACCAAACTGAATCCATCGCCTCGCAGCCTGCTGGCGCTGTTGGCGCTGGTATTGTGGTCAGTGGTGGTGGAGGATGTTCAGCCAGCCAGCCATCTCAGCGAAACATATCACCGGAGGATAGCTCTGATGAATCCACTGCATCTGCAGATGAGGGTTGTGGCAGTGGCAGGCGCGATGTCGACTCCTGGCCGCGTGTAGATCACCCACTTGGGATTCATCCCAGCTCTGATTCCTCGCCATTCTCCCCAAGTGACATAGTCGAGTGCGGTCTAGCCAGCGCGGTGCCATGTTGTCGCTGCCAAGCAGGGGGTACGTGCATACGATGCGCTTGTGTCAGGGCTGGCAGAGTTTGTAGTAACTGCTATCCTGGGAGGGGTCGACTTGGCACCTGTCGTAATGTTGCTTCGGTGCCTGGGGTCCCGAGCTCTCAGCCCCAGATTATTCAGAGTGGCACCTCTGCTGCAACTGCATTGATTCCGACAGCATCTCAGGTTGACTTGCTTACCAGTTTGGAGGAATCTGACTCTGGTGCGCCACTGATGAGTGTGGATTCGGGCGCTGGGGGTACTGTACAACAGGCAGTGCATGGGGAGGATGACTCACGGTCCACTCTTATCTCATCCCAACCCCAGCTATGCCCATCTACGGGGAATATCGATTTACAGGCTGCGGGTTCTGGTCATGCGGATGTGGATCCATTTTTGCAGGTGCTTGGCTCGAGCCAGCCGGACGCTGCCTCTCCAGTTCCCACCACCCCTCGGGTCTCCATGCCTTTTGACATGGCTGACATCTATCAGGAGGTGGCGAGTTGGGAAAAGAACCTCTTCCGGGCTCCGACCGGCAGTGTTGGCAAAGAGTTTGTTCGGACACTCACGTCAGAACTTCAAAAGTTCAATTCGTCCCGAGGAGCGGAAGCCACTGCTCTATATCGTTTCTTCCTGCTTCCAGCGT